TACTACCACTTCTCACCAGCACAATGGGCTTGGGCATCTTTTTAGTACAGATGCTCTAAAAATTTTGTTACTTTCTCTACTCATTCAAGTCCAAATTTTCAAAGTGTCCATAAAGCACGTCATCCTGCCCAAAGACATAGCTCAGAAACACTGAGACCCACTCAAACCACTGCAGGAGAGCCTCCAATCCTGCTCGAGGCATGACTCCGTTTCCCCAGCCTTTGTCTCTTGCATTCCTGTGATGTCACCAAAGTTCTGAGGAAAAGTCAAGTAGGGAAACCCCAGCTGGAATATTGTTCCAAGTCTCAGACTGAACATGTGGATGAGGTGGGCGTGTGGCTGGGACCACAAAGCAGGTGCAATCTGGGCCCCAAAGGAAGGGACCTGGACAGGAAGAAAGAGCACCTTGTGTAGCCACCACCGCACTCGTTCACACCTTCACGGTCAGGAAACCAAGGTGCCCTCTCTCCTCTAGGTGCAATTTCCTGGAACCCTGAAGATCCCACTGAGATATCATATATTCAAGGTCACCCTTGACCAGAAGTGCTCAAGAAATTTGGTTAGATGGCCAACCATCAGAGAGGTTCCCTGCTCTGTGGAGGGGTTGAATCAGGCAATGGTTTTTAAAATGCCACGGATTGAATGCCAGAGCTTCCAAGAGTCAATCAAATGGGAGAAGGGTTGTCTACAGATTCTAGGATTTTTCTGTCATTCCATAAGGTTTAGCGAGGCCACGTCTGTGCTGAAAGAAAAACAAGATATACTACAGAGAAAAGTAGAAACTGGTAGCCAGAAGGTAAATTGGAAAAATCAGTCTGGACATGTGACCTTAGAAAGGTAGTCTTTTGCCCCTTTCTTTGGTACCTAATAGCTACTAAGTGACCTGGATCTGATGTAAGATAGCTCTACATATTGTAATAGGAAGAATGAAAACATTTCTAGAATACCTAAAGGGAAAAGAGAAAAGAGAAACTTAATATAACAGGTATGTTATTAAAATAAATTGGCTTAAAGGGTGCCCCCTAGCTATGGTCCTGAATTGAGTACCATTCATTATTTGGACATGTTGAGTGAGCAGGAATTAGTGTTGCTTGGGTCATTTAAATTATAAAAATGTTATAATAGGAAAAGTGAACTATGCTGATGTTAATAATTGTGGATTTAAAAAAAGAAGAAGAGCAATACAAGATGGTGAGATTTCCAGCAACTGGACTTGCAGGGCCTTCCCAGCCCCATTACGGGCAACCTAAGGATTCTACACACAGCACAGACTCTGACGGCGTCTTCATCCCACCTTAAACCTGAGTTTCTACATCAAGCTCCCTGGGCCTCTATCCCTCCCATCCTTTTCAGATGAGAATCTTCTCAAATACCACCTACAATCCTTGGCATCCCTTCCCAAGAAATTGAGCTTCCAGCACCAAATCTTTTTTTTTTTTTCCCAGCACCAAATCTTGACTCCCCCAAGGAATATTTGCTAAGGTGTCAGTAGCCACCACACAGCCCTGAGTCCTCCAACGCACAGAGCAAGAAACGAAGACTCAGCTGAAACGCAGTTACTCTGTACCTTTCTGTTTCATTTTATACCTCATCGCTCCCCACTGTGCAGAACTTAAGGAGATCCATGTTTCTGGCTGTTACAATTCTAAGATTCTAGTTTGCATGAGAAAGGACGCTAAAGTTCAAGGAACTATGGTGATTTGGGGGTTCTGGGGTTCCGTGCCACTGTCGATCTGTTAGTTTCTCACACTCTGGTGGCTTGTGTGTTGCAGTGATGTTGGCATCTGGGTCATAAGTATTTCATATACCAGCAGGGCCACCCATGGTGCACAGGTTTCCACCATTTCCACGCTAAAATAAGCCAGGAAGCAGAACTGGCTGTCCATTTCTGAATTAATGAGCCTTATGAACAATAGCAGATCATTGTCTGGTATTGTGTTAGACCCTTGGGTTGGAAGGTACTCAAAATATCATTGATCTCCTCAAAACAGCCTGCCTGAATGATGTGGCTGGAGGAAGACTCCACCCAATAAGGACTTTCATTTGTTGATGTGGCATCACTCAAGTTGAATAGGAAGAGCTGCAAAAATCTGTCAATATGCTTCCTATGCATCAGAGAGCTGGATAATGACTAAGGAGGAGAGCAGAAGAATTGGTGCTTTTGAACTGTGGTGCTGGAGAAGAGTGTTGAACCATGGACTGCCCAGAAGAACAAACAGGTCCGTCCTGGAGAAGGTGAAATGAAGCTGCTCCTGGAGGCAAGGATTTTGAAGTTTCATCTCACACACTTTGGTCATGTGCCCAGGAGGGACCAGTCCTTGGAGAAGGACATCATGCTTGGAAGGGTGGAGGGACAGTGCAGGAGAGAAAGACCCCAGATGAGATGGATTGACTCAGTGACTGGAAAAATGGGATTAAGTCTATCAGAGACGATGAGATTGGCTCAGGATAGGGCAGGGTTCAGAAGTAATGTATATAGGGTGGCTATGAGTCACAGGCAACTCGATGGCATACAACAACAAGAAGGAATGTGGAGTGTATCAAGTATGAATCTAAGAAAATTCAAAGCTTTCTAAATACAGAATGAATAACGATCCATGTCCTAGGCATTAGTGAACTGAAATGGACTGATAGTGGCCATTTTTATTAGAATAATTATATGCTCTGCTGTGACAGGGATAAGAAATCAGAGAGGAATAGCATCTCATTCTTTTTTTTTTTTTCTTTCTTTCTTTCTTTATTTATTTATTTTATGTGTGTACCGTCAAATTGGATCTGACTGGTACAGGAGGCGATTGTTCCTCCTTCTTCAGCAGAGCATCTGGTGGATTTGAACTGCGCACCTCTGGGATTGCAGTGCAGTTTCCTGCCACTAGGCCACCAGAGCTCGCCTCATTCATTCTTAAAAGGAACATTTTAAGTTCCATCCTGAAGCACAGTAGGTGACAGGATAATATCCACACAAGGAAGAGCTGTTAAAACAACTTATTAAAATTTATATACCAACCACTAAAACCAAGGAATTCTGGTGGCCTAGTGGTAAGGAGTTCCAGTAGCAACCCAAAGCTATGCAGTTCAAATCTATCAGCTGCTTTGCAGGAGAAAGCTGGACAACATCCTCCCGTGTGGTTAGCTACCTCTGAAAACCAGCTATAGGTCAGTTCTAACTGCACAGTACACAACAACAACAAAACCAAAGATGAAGAAACGGAAGCATTCTACTGACTTCTGTAGCCCGAAATGGAGCAAACATGTAATCAAGATGTGCTAGTGAGTGGTGATTGGAATGCAAAGTTGGAAACAAGAAGGATCAGTGGTTGGAGAAAAACAGACGTAGTGATAGAAATAAAACTGGAGATCACATAATGGAATTTTAAACAACCAGTGAATGACTTGTTCATGGCAAACAAATTTTTTTTAAAAACATATATAGTGAGGGGAGGAAAAAGTAAGATAATCAAAGACACATGGAAATTATTAATCTGTAACACGAATAGAACTCCTGAGACCACAAGTGAGGCCAAAACTAGACAGTCTTTGGCTCCTACTAAAAGGCATCACAACAGAGTCACAAAAGAAAAACTTCTAAAAACAGCTGAATAGAAACTTGTGGAACCTTCCAACCTAGAGCATTTAGTTGCCTTTTTTGAACCTAGAACTGAACTCAAGCTTGTGGCACAACTTTCAGCTAAACAACAGATCTTAAAGGTCAACAGAGTCACTAACGAGGTCACCAGTCATTAGCACAACCAAAGACACAAGATCAAAACGGTAGCATTAGCCCAGGGATGAAGCTCTGAAGGTTTTAACCAGAATTATTTACAATTGGACCAATCAACATCATGATAACTGGAGAAAAGATTGATTTTGTCAAGGATTTCATTTTACTTGGACCCACAGTCACATAAATGGCAGCAGAAGATATCAGTCTTGTATTGGACTGATCGGGTGCAAAGTACTTCTTCCAAGAGTAAAGCTGTCGCTTTGAGGACTAAGGTGCACCTAACCCAAGCCATGGTTTTTTCAATTGCCTCATATGCATGTGAATGTTAGACAAGCAATAAGAAAGACCAAAGAATTAACACCTTTGAATTGTAGTGTTGGAGTACAGTGTTGGTGATATCATGGACCATCCAAAGAACAAATCAGGAAGATGTTGACCCAGGATGCTCCTTGGAGGTGAGGATTGATCAGTCTTCATCTCACACACACTACATAGGTCATAAGGGACCAGTCCCTGGAGAGCATTAAAACCTGTGGAGGGAGTAAAGGAAGACCCTCAAGAGGGAGCCTGACACAGGAGTTTGAAACAGAAGGCTCAAACAGAACAGTGCCTGTGAGGCCAGCACAGGACCCGGCCATGTTCTCTTCTGAGTGGATCCTATGACAGCCTAACAATAGAATTTCATAGCCCTTAGGGATTTGTGCTGCTAATTCTCTGGCGGTTCAAATCCACCAGCATCTCTAGGGAAGAAAGTCCCTCTCCGGTGTGATTTACAGCCTCCGAAAACCCACCGGTGGCCTATATAAATACCAAGGCTAGCGATTCGAATGCACCAGCTGCTCAGTGGGAGGGCGGCAATCCCCTCCTGTGCGATTTATTGCCTCTGAAAGCGCGCTAGAGGGCCAGCTGTGGGTCGGTTCCATTCATCAACAATGAGGTTTTGGAGAAGCGCTCTAAGAGAGAGGGTAGGAGCGAGCGTGTTCCTGGGCTGTGTGAGCAGGTGCAAGAGCGCCGTGCACGCCCTGCTCCGCCCGGGCTCCGGACCAGAGCGAGGATGAGAGCCTGGCGCCCCCCAATGGCCGGGGTCCCGCACCCGCGGGCTGGGTGGGCGGGAACGAGCGCGGAGAAGGAGCGCAGCCAATGGAGAACCGGGTGCGGTGGGGCAACCGGCGGGGCAGAGGCGGGAGCGGGAGGAGGAGGGAAGTCCCGGGGTTCGGCCCCAGACCAGCTTCCTGGTCGGCAGCTGGGGTGAGCCGCCGCGGCGGGCCCCGGAGCCATGGGGAGCGCGCGCGACGCCATCCTCGAGGCGCTGGAGAACTTGACCGCCGATGAGCTCAAGAAGTTCAAGCTCAAGCTGTTGTCGGTGCCTCTGCGCGAGGGCTACGGGCGCATCCCGCGGGGGCCGCTGCTGGCCATGGACGCCATGGACCTCACCGACAAGATCGTCAGCTCCTATCTGGAGACCTACGGCGCCGAGCTCACGGCCACCGTGCTCGCCCAGATGGGCATGCAGGAGCAGGCTGAGCAGCTGAAGGAGCTCTCCAGGAAGGGTGAGCCCCCCAGCCCCTCCCGCGAGGTGCCGGGAGACCCCAAATCCTCTCTCTTCTATTCCCCCTCGCAGAACCCCATCTTCCAGCCCCTCCCGCGTCCTTTTCTGTTCCTTTTACTCTCTAAAGGACTTCCCCTCCTGCTAGGAAGGAAGGCTTCTGCGCTTGGCCTTGACTTCCATAGCCCATAACCGCATGGTCACTCCCCAGAGAGAATGGAGGACACACTGTGGGAAGGGAAGGGACGACTGAACTTGACTTCTTTACAGGTGCTGGAGCCTCCCCTGCCCTACCAGCCCCAGCCCGTCTAGCTCCTCTTCAGGCGGCAGCCAGGCCAGGTGAGGCCTCCACATCCCCCCTCACCTCTCCGGGTGCATCTCCTGCACAACCTGCCATGCCAGGTGCACCCACTGGCGGGGCACTCGTGAGCTAACCCTTCCCACCCACACACAGCACCTTTCAGCAGGACCAGGTGGGAGGGCGCAAGATAATGCTATTTGTATCTGACATCCCGGTGGGTTTACCCCTTTTCAGGCATCTCTAGAAGTTTCTGAAGGAAGTAGGGCCAGGTCCCAGCACCTACCTACTCTGGATGCTGGCTCACCTGCCTTCTCCCCATCCCCAGGACTGCACTTTATAGATGAGCACCGGGCTGCCCTCATCTCGCGGGTGACAGAAGTGGCCGGGGTTCTGGACGCGCTGTACGGGAAGGTCCTGAATGACGAGCAGTACCAAGCGGTGCAGGCAGAGTGCACCAACCCGCTGAAGATGAGGAAGCTTTACAGCTACACGCCTGCCTGGAACCAGGCCTGCAAAGACCTGTTCCTCCAGGCCCTGAGAGCCACCCAGCCCTTCCTGGTGGCTGACCTGGAACAGAGCTGAGGTGTCTTCCCCAGCATCAGTTTCAGGATAGTCCAAGACTTCATATTTTTTTAAAATATTAAAAAAAAAGCTCATACTATTTTTCCTTGTATGTCTATTTCCTATTCCTCACCTAAATGCAAAGAGCGGAACTAAAATTCCAAAGACTGCAGGCTCAGGCTCCCCACACCGTCCTCCATCCTTCGGCCTGGTCACTGTGGGGCAGTTCCTCCTCATTCACCATTTAGTGGCCTCGCTGGCCCTCCTCCAAAGAGGTAGGCCCCCTCTTTGAGATGTTAGTTTTAACAGCCCTGTGGATCAAGTCTACGAGTTAATTCGAGGTAGGGATGTGCCTGGAATTAGAGTGATTTTGTCACAGGCTTCTCTCCCTTGCTTTTTCCATAATGAAAAGTAATCGCTGCATTAGAATAGACAAGCTGTTATCTAAATAGAAGACAAAGAGCACAACCCACCAACTGTGATTTTAGGGTTCCTTCTGACACTGGCAAGGGCACTTGGAGGCTTGCCAATCTGCTTCCTATCCCCTAGAGGAAGGGGCTGCAGGTCACTTTGTCCATAAAAATGCCAACCACAGCAAAAGCTATTTTCAGGAAATGTGTTCTAGTATGTTGCTTCCTTTGGAGGAATTTTTGCCTAGAAGGGAAAATACTAACAATGACTAGGGATGACAGGAAATCAATGCCTTCAAGCTGTGGTTTTGGAGAAGAGTATTAAATATACCATGGACAGCTAGAACAGGTTCATCCTAGAGAGGGTGAGACCAGGCTGTTCCTTGGAGGCAAGGATTCTGAAGCTTTATCTGACCTGCTTTGGACATGTTGCAAAGAGGGAACAGTCATTGAAGAGGAACATCATGCTTGGGAGGGTGGAGGGACAGCACAAAGAAAGAAAGACCCTCAAAGAGATGGATTGATTCAGTGACTGGGGTAGTGAGTGGTTAATGGGGTTAGATATGTCAGAGAGAGTAAGACTGGCACAAGATAGAGGAGGATTTAGGACTGTTATACATAGGTCGACTTGACAGCACATAGCAAGAAATAGCATTTAAAAGGCCTCTCTCAGGAATATATCCCAAAGAGACTATAACTTCCACCCAAGCAGATATATGCACACCCATGTTTATTGCGGCTTCGTTCACAATAGCAAGGAGTTGGAAACAACCTAAGTACCCATCAAAAAATGAATGGATAGAGAATATATATTCTCTGGTATATTCACACAATGGACTATGCAGAATTGAAAAACAAGGAACTCATGAAATATTATGCAAAATGGATGACCCTGGAGGACATTATGCTGAGTGAAATATCTCAGTCACAAAAGGACAAATACTTTATGGTGCTACTGTTGTAAAACAGGACTGATATCGGGGTTGGGGGGAGACTGAGAAAGATGGGATAAATAATGTATACTGCATTGAAACAGATGAGGGAGAAAACTGTTTAAAAGGGATATGTGATTAGATATTACTGTCATGACAGGAGTCCAGAGCGAAGGCTGCATAGTGGAGTGGGCCTGGGGGGGGGCGGGAGGGATTGGAAAACAATGAAATAATTTTTCCTTTTCAAAGAGTGTACTGGGGGGGAGGGGTGGGCAGTGTAAAAGGTGCAACAATGAATGAATGGAAATCAAAAGTTTCTGTAAATTTTCAGTAAAATTAATAATTAAAAATTAAGAAATTTTTTTTAAAAAGCCTCTCTCAGAGACTGATGAAGGAACCAGAACTCCAAGGCTACTTCCCAAGCATAGTTTGCACCTAACCCCTTTCTGGCCTTGAGTGGGTGGGAAGGTGATATGCATGACAACAAGCAGGTACCTGGGAATGTGAAATGGTGCAATCACTATGGAAATAATTTGGTGCTTCCTTAGAAGGTTGGGACTGTAAGTGCCATCGGATCAGCAATCCTACTACTAGGTGTGTATCAAAGAACAACTGCAGGCCAAACTGACAAACATTTACTGCAGCACTATTTGATCAGTGGGTAAAATAGCTAAAGAAACTGGTATGTTCCCACAATTATGCATCACTGTAAATTGATCAAGAACTTGTGAAATACTGTGTAATATGGGGTGAATCTGGAACGAATTCTGCTGAGTGATGTAAGTCAATCACAATGACAGTCTGTAATCAAAGGTCATAGCTATAGAACTCAAGTCAGCTGACCTCCAGCAGGCTTTCAGAGGCTATAAATCACATGTGACAGGGATGTCCATCTTTTAGGGCGCTCTGGTGGCCTAGTGGCAAGAAGCTACACTGCAATCCCAGAGGTATGCGGTTTGAATCCACCAGATCCTCTGCTGGAGACAGAGGGGCAATCTCCTCCTGTACCAGTCAGTTCCGATTTGATGGTACACACACACAGAAAATAAGGTTTTTTAAAAAAAGAACGTCCATCTTTCTCCTGCAGTTACTGGTGGACTCAGCCACAAGAGAGGGTGCCACCTTTGGGTTAACATGAAGCATTACCCACTAGGTCACCAGAGCTCCACTAATCACTGAGTTGCAAACAACTCGAGGGCACATAAGAATATAAAAAAACAAAACACACCCATCTATGTTGCAGACCGAGGGTCCCAAAGAATAGAATAATCTTATAATTATTAATAAAGAGACAAACAGCCAGGAATGAGATAGAGCAGAGAGCATAAA